TTGCTCCTCTCTACCAGTTTTTGTTACCACTTGAATTACTACAGTTAATCATGTTGTACTAAAATCCCACCAGAGAGCACTGTTCAGATCTGTGATAGTGAACTGCTATTGAATTCCTTTAGACTTAGCTCATTTACCTTTAGGTCTCTGTGTGATTTCACTCAAATAAACTATTATAGCAAGAAAAGTTGCCGGTATGATTTTACAGCCTTCGGACAACTGTTGCCTGATACCGATGATGGGCACTTTCCAATTCCTGCCTGGTTCAGAAACATTTTGGACAGACTTCCCTTGAAGTTTAAGAGACAGTTTCTCCTTTGTCATTTACCCTGCAGTCAGAGCTGCAGTACCAGTTGGACCAACAGACAGAAAACCTTGCTTTCTTTAAGTGACAACTGGAGTGTCACTAACTACACTAATATTTTCTTGATGTTTCTTTTGCCCAAGCAACTGGGGTTCTTCATATTTAACTAACATTTCTCAACAGGAGATACATCTCACTGACATACCTAGTTCAAATCAAATTGTTTATACTTTCAAAAGAAACAAATGTCAAGATAGCTTCTAGAGTATATAGAATGGATTTCGTTTATTTTACTTTGAGAAAATAGTCTACCTTTTACATAAAACTTATAAACTAGGGTTTTGAACCTGTTCAAAGAAAAGGCAATTGTATTGGCAAACACTGGCTAACTTCAAGTTTTATCCAAAGCATCTGTCAGTATAAAATTCTCTAATTCTGGCGAGTAGTCTTAATTTGATCAATTAGGATTGGGTTTGGCTCCATTTAATGTGTCAGTGTAAGTTTATCCTTGTTTTTTTTTTTTAAAGTACCATTCTGGTAAGTGATGTTGACAGTTTGACAATGGAGGAGGCTGTCTATGTGTGGAGGCAGGGGGAATATGGAAAGTCTCTGTACCTTCCCTTCAATTTTGTTGTAAACCTAATATGGCTAATAAAAAAAGTCTCAAAAAAATGAAAAGAAACCTAAAATAATATTTTTTAAACCAAAGTAGAAGAAGTATGTTCTTGTTCTCAAGTAAAACAAGTCCAGAAGAAGAAACTCCAGATTTAGAAAGATAGTGTCACCGTCACAAATGACCCAGACTCCTCTTACCTGCTTTACCAGCCTAGCTCATGGTGTAAAATGGGCTGCTAGTGTTCCATTCACCACATCCAAATTCCAGGAAGTAGGAAGAAAGGAGGTATGAAAAAATAAACAAAAGTGCCCATCATCAAGCTGAGTCAGCTTCCTTTAAGCAGCCTTTCCAGAAGTCCCTTGTAACACTTATAATTCCATTGCCTTGGTTAGAACTTCATCATATGACTATACTTAAGTGCACAGAAGGCTGTGAAGTGGATTCTCTTTTTCTGGGCACATTACTTTTCAGAAAAAAATTGGGATTCTGTGACTAAAAGGAAGAGAAGAGTTATTGGGTGGGCAATTCACAGTCTGTACCACATCCATTATGTGGTGCTTTTGTGGGAAATTTCATGTAACCATTTAAAAATAATTAATGAGAGCTATGCTAATTGACTTGGGGGCTGCAGGAGGATTTCCCCAATGATTGTTGGGTGAAAAAAAGAAAAATGCATAGAAGTGATAAAATATGGTTCGGGTTTTTAATATAGAATGACAAAAATCTATGCATATACATATGCAAATAAATGATAAGCAGTTTACTCTTGAACAACACAGGTTTGAACTGCATGGGTACACTTATATGTGAATTTTTTTCAATAAATACACAGTCCTCTGTATCCCCAGGTTTTGAGTTCCCGGATTCAACCAACCATAGATCAAAACCAGTATTTTCTATCTGCCTTTGGGAGTCCACAGATGCAGAAGGCTGACTGTATGCATTGTTCTACATCATTTTATATAAGGGACTTGAGCATCTGAAGATTTTGATATCTGGGACAAAGGGAGGGGTCTCCTGTGCATACCAAGGGACAACCATAGTTAAGATTTGGGGAAGTCAAACGTTATACACAGATTCGACTGGGTGGAAGTTGGCATCCCTAACCCCCAGTTGTTCAAGGGCAACTGTATAAGTGAATATGGAAAAAATGCAGGATACACAGTCAACAAGTGTTATCTGGGTAAGGACTACAGGGATGACTATCTTTGTGTTCCATTGTTTCACTTGTTTTAATAGGCATGTGTTATTTTTGTAATTTGAAAACAAAAGTGTTTTGTTTTTTTTAAATGTAGCCATTTCCAGATCCAACCTACGCGTAGGATGGAGTTTATTCTAGGGGATCTTAGTGAAGAGCACAATAAGCCCTCAATACAAACCAGTTTATCTAAGTTGTTTTAAAAGATTTATTTATGGAAATGTTTTATTTAGAGACTATGTTAGCTAGATAATATTAGGAAGAAAATTGTACTCTTTTTTGAGCTAATGGATGTTAACAAATGTTTATAAATATTTAAATATAATGTAAAGTAGAATAATATCACAATATATATCTTTGCTGAACTATCTGATATTCTAGCATTTATGAAATTAAACAAATAACCTTTATGAATTGAATTTTTAATGTTTACCTATTTAATGGCATTTAGGCCATGAATTGTTAATGAAAAAGTTTTGTTTGGGAATAAATCACACCTTACAGGAATAAATCATTTTCATGTCAACTTGGCTTCATCAAAATTTCATGAAGAAAAGCCTTCTAAATCATGTACAACAACATCACATTATAAATTATATTTGATCCAGACATAATAAGGAATATGAAGAGTATGAAAAAATGAAGAAAAATAAATTAATCCCCTGCCTGCCTAGCTGGATGTTTGTTTGGCATGGAAAATGTCCTGTGTAGTGACCTGAGAAAAAAACTAGCAGCTATTAATGCTGAGACATTATTGATTCTGCACCATAAGGTAAAAATATGTTCAGTGACTATTAAAATTGGTAATAATATTATAATAATTTCAAAGTAAAATCTCAGATTTAAACTTTTTCCCAAATACATCATCCAATAATGGCAGTATTTGGGTCTGCCTTAGTTGTGGTCATACTAGCTTGTTTGGCATCAGACCAAAAAGAGTTCAGTGGACCACTTAATAAAAATGTTGCATTGGATAAACAGTGATGCTTTACAGCAAATGGTCACTAATATACATAACAGTGACTTGGGGAGATTGTAAAAAATGTCTCTTCCTCTCCAAATGGTATCCCTCTTCCTCAACACTCATTCTGAGTCAGAAATGGGCATTTTACACAAGCTCACCAAGATCTTTTTCTGCCTGTCCTGGGTTCATGTTTTGAGAAACATTGGTGTAATAGAAAACTCCGTTTTAAACTTGATCTTCACCATTATAAACTGTCTTCATGTTTGCAAAATAAGGGTCAGGTGTTCAAATGGCACTGTCATAAGCATGGAGCTTGAAAAAGGTATGCTATAGTTCAGTAAAAAAAAAATTTTTTTAAGTTAGAATATAACTCAAATTCTTAGCGCTGGACCACATTTTTCTTAGTAGTTAAATGTGGCCAGTGATGGAGCTGGTTGATAAATCTGTGAGCCTATTTTTATAAATGTTTTAACTGTTTTTGCAAGGCTAGAGAGGTATAATTTCTCTTTTTGTGGTGGGTGTATAGTCAGAATGGGGGGTTGGCACACAGGGATAAAGAGAGGATTCAAATTGGAAAGTGGTGAGTAATTACACTCAAGAACCATGAGCCCAATCCTACAGTAACTCTTCATGGCTTCCAATTCCTAAATTTATTTTCTGTTAAATGAAAGCTGTCATCTAAGTGATGTTGTGCTGGGAATCGGGACATTATAGAATATCTTAGTTCCAATTCCATAAATCTGTATCTTCAAACAAAACCCCCAACTACAAATAATACATCTCAATCACTTTGTAAATCATTTTTCTATGTTGGTTCTTTCCCTCAATCTTTAGCCAAAACTAGATCCGGGACAGATTCCAGGTCAGATTTCAAACCTGCAAAATTCTATACTCCCCATTCTTTGGTTATTTTGTCTTGAATTGAAGTGGATACTTGGCAATTAGCCACTGGAGAACTCCAAATTTTCTGATGCACTCTCTTCATTAATCAGGTTGACCAAGTAATTTCTAAATTTCAGTCAGCTCTGTACCTTCCTGTTACTAGCCAAAGGTAGTCTTCCTGCATCAGAAGCTCTCGACTTCAAAGGGTTTCTTAAAAACAATTATTCCTGCCAACCTGTTCAGTCTGGAAGCTGAACCCAGCTTTCCCGGGTAGTTGTTCAAAGGGTTTGGGGAGCAGAACAAGGGCTCCAGTTGAAGATTCTAAGTCAGAAAACGAAGCTGTAGAGAGTTCCTCCCCGAATACCCGGTGTGAGGGATTTGACGGTCTCGGCGGAGGAGGAGACGCGGCGCGGAACAGCGGGCTCGGCCCTGACGTTGGCTCCTTACCAGGGTGGTTCCTATGGGGTGGCGGGCGGGTAGCAAGAACATTTGGATTTAAGGCAGGTGGCCTGGGTTCCAGTGATGGTTCTGACACTAAAGAACCACGTGCCCTTTGTAAAGGTACTTAAAATGTAACTTCTTTGTAGGAAGGAACCAGTACAAACCTGCGCATAGTTGTCCAATATACATTGATCCCTTTCCTTCGCTCACTTGAGAATCACAAACATCAAAAGGACTAATAAAGAGAAATTAACTTAGAATAATGCCTGTCATAAAAAGACTTAATGTTATCAATGACTATAATTATATGGCCAGTCTTTCAAAGGCTGTCTGCTTGCCCAATAATGCGCTAAACGCAGTATAAATTTTTTTTTTTTTTTTAATTGCGCATGTGCGTCCCCATGGGAACTTGCGCACCAGTGGTTTTCCGGCCTAGGCGCAAGCTCCGCCCCCAAGGGCGCGCCCCTTAAAGCGCGGGCACCGCGTGTGAGGCGCGCGCTCGTCAGCGGGTGACGTATAAACCAGAGGGCAGGTCCGGGAGAAGGGGGCGTTTGCTTCCGGGACTAAGGGGACGTCATTTCCGGGAGAAGCCGGCTTCGCTGGTAGTGGGTAGTGAGGGAGGTGTTGCCGCCGCTTCTTGGTCCCTTGGCCTCGGTCCGGGGAAGGCGGGCATGAAAATCACGAGGCAGAAACATGCAAAGAAGCATCTCGGCTTCTTCCGCAACAATTTCGGAGTCCGCGAGCCGTACCAGATCCTGCTGGACGGTACCTTCTGTCAGGCGGCGCTGCGGGGCCGCATCCAGCTGCGGGAGCAGCTGCCCCGCTACCTCATGGGGGAGACACAGCTGTGCACCACCAGGTGAGCCCGCGGGGCCGGGGCGCTGGCGCGGGGGGCCTCCACTGAGAGCCCCCGAGGTACAGGGCCCCGCCCACGGGGAGCTGACAGGTGAGGGGTGGCTCTAAGGCGGTCCGGGGAGTATCCGCAGGCTGCGCCGAAAGCAGTGCCCTGGAGTAGTCACGTGGCCGTTCTCTTCCCCCTGTTTAAAATCTACTGTTCATATTTTCTTTAAAAAGCTTGAGAAGTACTGCAGGAATTAATATTCTTCAGCATTTTTTCCTAAAGAGTTTATTGTAACTTTTGGGATATTTCATACATATACAGAAGTAGGACAGTATAATGAAATGTCACCCCGCTTTTGCAGTTGTCGACATGGATAACCATGATTCATCCATCCTTCGCCCCTCCTTATTGATGGTTTATTTTAAAGCCTACTATTCCGTCAATTCTTGGTGTGTGTCGTGAAGAGATAAAGAAGCCTTTTTAAAGTCGCAGAAAACAAATACAGTTGATGTACCTTGTTTGAATTCAGACTTTAAGCAAGAATGTATGTAAAGATCAATTAGCATGCTGCCTGGCACATAAGCAGTCAGTAAATTTTAAGTATTGTTATTGTTCTTTCTATTTGGTGTATGAGTTTTGCTAGGTCTTTTAAGAGTGCAATGGCTATTGTATGATTTGTGGTTACCATATTACAAATTCAATTGTCTTAGTTTTTAAAAATTTAGTATTATTTTTTATGCTTGTATTATGTGAACAATTGATACGTTTCTGTTATCATTGTGACCCACTAACAACATTTTCTTTTTCAGGTGTGTGTTAAAAGAGTTGGAAACATTGGGACAGGACTTATATGGAGCAAAACTGATTGCCCAAAAATGCCAGGTCCGAAATTGTTCCCATTTCAAGAATGCAGTGAGTGGATCAGAATGTCTGCTTTCCATGGTTGAAGAGGGAAATCCTCATCATTATTTTGTGGCATCACAGGTGATACTACTTTTAAAACCAGAGTTAACTTTAATCATTTCTGTTTATACTTCATATGGAGCTATTTATAATCAGAAAAAATTAGTGGAAGTGGTTTGTTCTTGTGTTCTTGTGTTTCAACTTTTTGAAAATATTAGCTTTTAAGTTAATTTGCAATCAGTAAAAGCAGTTGTCATTAGAGAATTTGAGAACCTTACGCATATTGATTTTCTTAATTACTGGAGTTTCTTTTTCTAAAATAAAAAATTATTGTTACAGAGATGTGATGATATGTCTTTGGGTTCTTGAAGGTAAGATAAGTAGAGCAAAGATTTGGCATTCTATGTTTATAAATGTTCATTCCTATTTCTGTATTTCATACTATTTTTCAAAAAAGGCATGTTTCATATTTGAGACTACCACTGTTTTGGGCTTTTAAAAAGACTAAGAGCCAGGAGAAGAGAGGCTCTCAGGGATAATATTAATGAAGAAGTTCCCTTTCATACAGATTTGCTGAAATAGGTTTTCAGAACTAAAATTACATAATTAGAGGCAAAACTTAACCTAGAATCTGAGTCAGCTAATGCCTACTTTATTTCTATTACTTCAGCCTCTGTGAGCTTTCTTGACCCTCCCTGGAGCACGTCTTAGAGCAGAGGAAGGGACACCACCTAACATGTTTATCTTTGCATTCTTTTGTGATCCATGGTCCTAGAACAGCGATTTTCAGCTTGTGTGCCACAAGAATTTTTAAAACATGCAATACCTGACTATTTAGTCAAGGGCACTTACCTCTTTTCTCTTGGATTGTCAAAAATGAGAATAGCCAACATAATAATAGCCAACACAACAATAGCCATCTGGTGTGAATGCCCTGTCTTGAACTATAAATATATAGGTCATATAATAGAGGTGCATCTAACTGGCTACATTGCATTATCAGGTTGCATCTGATTTGTTAATTCTTTGTACCAGAAATCCTTATATACAAGTATAGGCACTTGATTTTTTCAAAACTCACTTTGGAGCAAAAAAGGGTAGGTTAACGACTATTACTATTTTTTTGTAAATCAGTCAAAATTATATCTACTTTTTTTGTTAAATCAGCAAAATATATATTTTTTGGTACGCCAAGAATGTTAGTAATTAGTTATGTGTGCCATGAGATGAAAAAAGTTGAAAATCGCTATCCTAGAATATTGATAAATCCAGTTCACCTTGTTGCCACTTAACTATTTGTGTTTAATTTTTATGTTTCTCTTTCTTTATCATAAAATGTACTGTATGCCCAGCTGGTGTGGCTCAGTGGTTGAGTGTCGACCCATGCACCAAGAGGTCGCCCACTCAATTCCTGGTCAGGGCACATGCCCAGGTTGTGGGCCCGATCCCCAGTCAGGGGGATCATGCAGGAGGCAGTCAGTTGATGTTTCTCTCTCTCTCTCTCTCTCCCTCTCTCTCTCTCTCTCTCTCTGCCTCTCTCTCTCTCTCCCCCTTTCCCTTCCTCTCTCTATATAAAATAAAGAAAAAAATTTTTAATATACTGTACTGCCACTAGTAAGACATACTAACTTGAAAAATAAAACCTGTGATCTTTTATTTTTATTTATTTTTAATAAATATTTTTATTGATTTTTAGAGAGAGAGGAAGGGAGAGGGAGAAAGAAAGAGAAACATCAATTGAGAGTGGAATATTGATTGGCTGCTTCCTGCACACCCGTACTGGGGATTGAGCCCGAAACCCAGGCATGGTACGCTGAACCAGCAACCTTTTGGTGCACAGGACAATGCCCAACCAACTGAGCCACCTTGTCCAGGGCCTCTTTTATTTTTAATATAACCCTCTTGAAGTTCTTAGAAACTATCTAAAGTCACTGACATACTTGAACTAAATAATTCTATTTTTCTTTTTAATAGGATCAGAATTTGTCTATGAAAGTAAAGAAAAAGCCCGGAGTTCCTCTTATGTTTATTATTCAGAACACTATAGTCTTGGACAAACCTTCTCCTAAAACAGTTGCCTTTGTTAAAGCAGTAGAGTCAGGTCAGCTTGTCTCAGTTCATGAGAAGCAAAGTATCAAGCAACTCAAAGAGGAACAGGGTTTAGTGAAAAACCCTGAACAGAGAAAAAGAAAAAAGCGCAAGAAAATAAGTGGCCCCAATCCTCTTAGCTGTTTGAAGAAAAAGAAAAAACCACAAGATACAAAACCATCTGCCTCCGAAAAGAAAAGAAAAAGAAAGAGAATCCGGAACAGATCAACCTCAAAAGTAGTTTCTGAAAAGGAGAATGCAGAAGGATAAGGAATTCTCTGGATACTCTGAAAGACATTTAAATGTGAAAAGTAAATTTTAAAAAAAAACTGTGTGAAAGTACTTAGAGAGAGGAAAAAAAAAAACTTACTTTTGTAAATGAATATTGATCCATAAGCCTTTGCCTAAAACTATTTGTAAATAAAAAACAAAGCACTGAATGGGTTTAGGTGTGATAGTATTCACTTTTCTTACCCTGATTTTGTAGGGAGGTTGTTGATATAAAACTTGTCTTCTGTCTCACCATCACCCCTCACGCCACATTATATGCAAACAGTTTAAAAAGATCAAGTAGTGTCAAAAGGCTTGTGACAAAGAGTAGTCCCTCTCTCACATTTACAGGAGAAACTTGTCTTGCAACTCGTGTAGGGGTTAAGAATTAACATTTATATTTCCAAATAGTATGAGTGTGCTGCTACCTTCTGATCCGTCCATTATTGACTTTCTACTAGAAAAATGGAAGTTTTGCTTGCTTTACTCCATTTTTCCAATATGATAATGTTTTTAATCTTTATACATCCTAAATTCAGTATTTTTGTTATGACTATAAAATTTATAAATCACTGAACCAAGTAGCATACTATGATTGAATTTCTTTCTCATATTCCTTGTTTTGTTATTCCGGAATTCATAATAACCTTTCTTTTAGCATCTAATTTGATCTTGCTACATATTCCAATAACTGTAAAGGACCTAATAGTACAGTTTTCCATATAATATCAGGTCATTTCTTATCCCTGGAGATATTTCTCCTGGAGCCTTTGGTCCTCCAACGTTGAAAGATTTTCTGCCGAGCATGTGCTCAGCTATCAACCACACGCTTCTTGCCCTTATCAAGCGATCTACTTTTCCACTTCTGTTTCCTAGATTCATTTTACTATTTCTTGTTTTTTTTGCTGAGTGGAGCAAAGAGTGTATAGGAAATACATTTCTTTTGAGGCTCAACCAATATGTCTACCCTTATATTTGTTGCACTGATAATCTAGCAAGATAAAGAATTCTTAGTTAAAAATCATTTCACTCAGTTTTCCTGGAGAACTTTGTAATTGTTTATAAGGTCCTGGGTTGGGGGGACACCTTTTTGCTTTTTTTGAAGTTCCATTTGTCCAGTAAGGAAGAAAGTTATCTTTTAGATGTAAATGTTAACTTTAGTAGCAAAAATGATAAAATAATACTCAAGATTAGCTATGAATATGTTATTTAAAAAGTCTAAAGCCTGGCTAGTGTGGCTCAGTGGATCTAGTGTCATCCCATGGACTGAGAGGTCTTCATTTGATTCCTGGTCATGCCCGGGTTGCAGGCTCAATCCCCAGTAGGGGGCGTGCAGGAGGCAGCCAATCAATGTTTCTTACACTGATGTTTCTCTTCCTCTCTCTAAAAAGAAAATTGTCTAAAAAAAATAAGTTAGGAATTGAATAGTCAAACTTGTCTTTTTCAGTCCCCACCCCAATTGTTTTAATCATTCATCAAGCCAAAATTACAATGTTTTTGCACCACAACACTGAAGTTATAAAGTTGTTGGAAAAGAGGAATCTGACTTTGAGCTGCCTTCAAGCAATGGTTCTCAATCTGAACCATTAAAGTGCGATCAAGTATGAAGCACCTTATGACTAAATTCTTATTAATGGCTGAAATGAACGACTTATATGAGAACTAATATTTGTACAGAAATGTCACTCTTAGTTGGATTCGGTGACACTTTACCGTGGAAAGGGGAATTTAGTACAGCTTTAGTTAAAGGGGGAATAACACACAGGCTGTATTACCTGGCAGGTTAGTATCTGGGTTGTCATTTCACGATTCTGTTTTCAGTTTTTAATAATAGGAACTTTTTTTTTCTGTAATCCTCACCTGAGGATATTTTTCCATTTAGTTTCAGACAGAGTGGGAGGGGGAGGTAGAGAGAAACATTGATGCAAAAGAAATGCATCGACTGGCTGCCTCCTGCACAACCCCAACCAGGGCCAGGGACTGGACCTCAATCGAGGTACATGCCCTTGACCGGAATCGAACCCACCACTCTTTGGTCCACAGGCTGACTCTCTAGCCACTGAGCCAAACCGGCCAGGGCACAATAGGAACATTTTTAAAAGAAGGCAAAGGTAGTGGGGGGAAAAGTGAATATAGTTCTATAGTTCCTGTGAGGGAAGAACATTTGTCAACAATGTCAAGAGTTAAGTTTACCAAATTAAATGCAGACAAAGTGATGAAGCGGGTGAAATGTACACTGATGATACTCATTTCAATATGCTAAAGTGCATAAAATTTAGGTATTCCTCTTTAACACTGTGATATTGCTTTATATTAAGAAATATATCTATTTAATCTATGAAATAGACAATGTCCACAGATCCTGGTTCACAGCTCCCAAAACTCTTGCAATTTCCAAAGTAATAAACTCAAAGATGTCTTATGTTTATAAATGAGGTGACTTTTGGAAAGCACCTAGGATGAGGACGGCTTGTCATTAGAGGTAACCAGTGACGAGAGTGTGGAATGTTCAGTCCCACCCCCAAGCCTTGGGGGAGGGGAGAAGAGCAGGAGAATGTTCATTTACTTCATCAGTCATGCCTACGTCATGAAGCCTCCGTAGAAACCCAAAAAGTCAGGTTCAAAGAGCTTCTGGGTTGGTGAACACATAGATTTGGGGAGAGTGGCGTGCGTGGAGCCCTCCCCCATAACTTATCCTATGCATCTCTTCCATCTGGTTGTTCCTAAGATACATTTTTTTTTTTTTATTATCCACCTGAGGACATTTTTCCATTTTTGTTCAGATAGAGTGGGAGGGAGAGGTGGAGGAGAGAGAGAGAGAGAGAGAGAGAGAGAGAGAAACATTGACATGAAAGGGACACATCAAGTGGCTGCCACCCGCACAATCCAACCAGGGCTGGGGACAAACTGCAACTGAGGTACATGCCCTTAGCGGGAACTGAACCCAGATCTCTCTGGACTGCAGGCCGACGCTCTAACCGCTGAGCAAAAGTGGCCAGGGCTTTTTTAAAAAATAATAAACAGTAGTCTAGTAGGTAAAATGTTTCCCTGAGTTCTGTGAGCTGATTAATTGAAGTGAGGAGAGGGTGGTGGGAACGTCCGATGTTTAGCCAGGGTCTGAACTGGGATGTTGAGGGGGTCAGTTTTGTGGAATCTAACCTCTGGGTAGATATTGTCAGAATTTAGTTGAATTATAGAACACTTGGTGTCAGAGCACAGCTTGTATGTGTGGGGACCGCTCCCCACACACATGAAATTGGGCCTAGGAACCTCAACTACTCATTTATATTTATTCAGTGCTATCTGATTGCCTAGTAATTGTGTCTAAAGTGGAGAACTGGAAAAGTCAACTCATTTTTACAAAATAGTCATTTTTAAGTTAAAATAGTAAAAGTACAATGTATTACAAAATACATTATTTAATATCGTAAAACTTTAGTCATTTATATAGTTGCCAGTAAAATTACTTTAAAAGATATTTCAGCAAAATGATCTCATATCTTTGTACTACAATTCTTTTGTGGACAGTAAGTACCCTTATAACGCCACTTGGAAAATCCTTAACATGCCTGCTTTATCTTCTCCATACAATTTAGGGAAGCGAGCAAGGGAGTCATGGGAGTCTGTATGTGTGATCATAATCCATTTTGCTTTGGAATTAGAAATGTTAAGAACCTCTGCTTTAGAGAGTAGCTACTGGGGATAAAAGTGAAATACATTTGTTTTGAACTCTTTGGAGTTTGCCAGACTGAAAAATAGTGTTTCTGAAAACCACTATCTTTTATGAACATTTCAAAATAGTGTTTGAAGTTGAGTTTGGGCAGGATTCTGTTTTCCCCTATATTTTTGAAGCCCTACAGCCACTTCTCACCCTCCAAGTATGTAAATTAAAATCAGAAGTCATTTTGGAACAACTGAAATTTAAAAAAAAAATTTCTTGTCTTCCATGTATGCATCGAGTTAAGAGATTGTATTTATATTTGCAATCAAGGTAAGGCAAGATGTCCATGATTTAACAGGTTTAATTAATAGGTTTCCATGGGTGGGTAGAATGAATAGTTTGTATTCTTTACAGTGTTTTTATTTTATTTATTTTATTTTTTAACTTTTTCTTTAATCCTCACCCGAGGATAGAGTAGGAGGGAGGGAGAGAAGGAAAGAGAGGGAGAGAGAGACATCGATGTGAGAGAGAGACACATGGACTGATTTGCCTCCTGCACGACCGACCAGGGTCGTGGAGGAACCGCAACCAAGGTACGTGCCCTTGACCGGAATCAACCCCGCGACTCCTTGGTCCGCAGGCCGATGCTTTAAGCGCTGAGCCAAACCGGCCAGGGCTACAGTGTTTTTAATACAATGTCATTTCATTGTACTGTAGTTTTTCTTCATTCTTAGTTTAGGTATAATGAAAAATGTGATGACTTAGTATATATGTGTGTGTGTATAATGACTTAGTGTATATAATATATTCATTTTATAAAACTCTTCTTTCTCCATATATATATTGAGATCCAGAACTAAATGGTAATAAAAGCAAAAGATGAGGTGTCTGGACGGAGCTTAGGAGCTAATTTCTTATACGATCTTGGTTTGGCAGCCTCCGATCATAAATCCTTGCCAGTAAACAGCTTTTGTGTACACCTATGACATATGTTTATTTATAAACCACATAAATTTGCTATTGTATATTTTAAAATGTACACAAAAAATGTAAAGGATAGTAAAATTAAATTATTTAAAAATCTTTGCCATTAAGTGGCTTCATTAGCTATTATTTCAAGACATAAAGTTTATCAATAATATTGGATATGAATCTACTTGAAGTAGTGTTTATAATTACATTTTCCCATCAGATATGAATAGATAATTGGTTTTCCTTTATAATATTAAGGACAAAGTGCACTAGGAGTAGCATGTGTCAATAAATAGGATTGGGTAAAAGTAGGTTTCCAGTTCATATGGAAAATAATATAATCATTAACAAATGATAATAAAGAATAAATTCTGTGTTCACAGACTCACAACGGTAA